CAGTCGACTTCAATATGTTTGGTCCTTTCATGGAAAACTGGATTGGATGCAATATGTAAAGCAGCCTGATTATCACAGAACATTGGTATAGGAGTAGAGGGTGAAAGACTGATTTCTTGAAGAAAGTGCTGCAACCATGCCAATTCACTAGTAGTATGAGCCATTGCCCTATATTCTACTTCTGCACTTGACCTTGTAACTATTGTCTGTTTCTTACTTTTCCAAGAGACAAGATTACCACCGAGAAAAGTACAAAATCCAGTAGTAGATTGTCTATCTGACGGAGAATCTGCCCAATCCGCATCTGTAAATCCTTCTATTCTGATATTTCCATTTGGTTTATACAATAATCCAAGACCTGGAGTCTTTTTTAAATACCGAATAATACGTATCACAGCTTCCCATGAGAAACTCGAGGAGCATTCAAGAACTGACTAACAATACTGACTGCATAAGAAATATCCGATCGTGTGATAGTAAGATAATTCAATTTTCCAACCAAACGACGATATTTTCCTGGTTCTACAAATGATTCTTCTTCATCCTTCAAAAGCTTCACATTAGGATCCATAGAGATATCAACTGGACGAGCTCCAAGAAAACCCGTCTCATCTAACAGGTCAAGTACATATTTTCTCTGAGATAAGTTGATACCTGCCCAAGACCTGACAACTTCAATACCCAAAAAATATCGAAGCTTGCCTAGATCTTTGGTTTGGAAATGTTTTTGTAGAAACTGCTTCAATCGAGCAATCCCATTTGCATCATCACTAGTTATTACAATATCATCTACATAAACTACAAGGATAACATGCCCTGCACCAGTTTGTAGATGAAATACTAAATGATCTGTCTGACACTTTTAAAGGCCAAATTTTGGAACAACCTTAAAAAACTTTCCAAACCACGCCCTCAGTGATTGCTTTAACCCATTTAAAACCTTTTTCAACTTACAAACATATTTCTGGTACTTCCCCTGAGCAACAAACCCAGGTGGTTGCTCCATATAAACCTCTTCATGCAAATCACCATGAAGGAAGACATTTTTAATATCCAACTGGAACAATGGCCAATCAAGGTTAGCAGCAATAGAAATTAAAATGCGAATAGATGAGATCTTAGCAATCGAAGAGAACGTTTCATCATAATCAACACCATAGGTTTATGTATAGCTCTTAGCAACCAATCGAGCTTTCAACCGATCAACAGTCCCATTAGAATTGAACTTCAGAACATAAACCCATCTGTTACAAATAGGGCGAATACCAGGTGGTGAAGGAACAAGGTCCCAAGTCTGATTCTCGTGTAAGGCTGCCATTTCCAATTCCATAACTTTCGACACTCAGGATCAGACAAAGCCTCTGCCATTGTCTTGGGTACAAAAACACCATAAAGTTGGGATGTGAAATAAGAAAACGAAGGCGACAACGAATCAAAAGTGACATAGTGGCTGATAGGATATTTAATTACACAAGTACGTTTACCTTTGCGGAGAGCAATGGGTAAGGATTTAGTATCGGAACAGACGATAGAAGTAGGATCTGAAGACGGCAATGCGACAGATGGGGCCACGGGTGGTGGTGTCTTAGATCGCTTGGTATAAACCTGTAAAGTAGGAGGTGGTTCCTTATGAGAAGATGATGACCCTGGTATAGTAGATGAAGACGAGATTGGCTCTGGAGAAATACCAACTGGTAGATATGGAACTGGTAAGCTAACGGGATCCCGAGTAGATTCGGGAGACGTACTCTGATCAAGGAAATAAGGTGTAAATTCATCGAAGGTGACATCTGCACTCATAAAATAGCGTTGCGGAGAAGGATTGTAACAACGATACCCTTTTTGTGTTTGAGAATAACCAAGGTAAACACATCGCATAGAGCGAGAGTCAAGTTTGTCAGGGCAGGACCAAAGGAATGAACATAACAAACACACCCAAAAACCTTGAGAGGTAAGGAGTATGATGGAGATGAGGAAAACAAAAAAGAGAAGGGAGATGCAACATTCAAAACGGAGGATGACATGCAATTAATGAGATAGCATGCAGTAAGGACCGCATCACTCCAAAAACGTTTAGGGACATGCATATGGCAAAGAATAGCACGAGTAACATCTAATAAATGACGATTTTTGCGTTCTGTAACTCCATTTTGTTGTGGAGTATATGCACAAGATGTTTGATGAGTAATACCTTTAGAAGTTAAATAGGAAGTAAAAGATGCAGACATATATTCTTTGGCATTATCAGAACGCAAAATACGGATTTTCTTGTTAAATTGAGTTTTAATCAATGAACGAAAGACTTGAAATATAGAAAGTAACTCAGAACGATTTTTCATTAGGAACAACCAAGTCATACGAGAATAATCGTCCACAAAAGTGACAAAATATTGAAATTTATTAGAAGAAATATTGATTTGTCCCCATACATCAGAATGAACTAACTCAAATAAACCAGAAACACGACTACTAGTTCGTAACGAAAAAGACACACGATGATGTTTGCTAAGCTGACAAACATCACATTCAAGGGAGGACACATTGCGAAGACTCACAACTTGACGTTTTAAAGTAGATAGAGAAGGGTGACCAAGACGGCAATGCCACTGCATGGGTGAAACAGAAGACTGAAGAGCTCGAGGAGGAGAGACCGGTGAAATATCCAGGTAGTACAAGCCACCAACTTCATGTCCCATACCAATCATCCTCTTTGTCTTGAGATCCTGAAAAACACACAAGGAGGGTTAAAATGACCGAAGAGATTTGGTAATTTTACTAATAGACAATAAGCTAGAGGGAAAGCTAGAAACATGAAGGACAGTTGATAGATTAATGTTAGGACTAAGACAAGTTTTGCCTGTGCCTGCAACACTAATTTGGGAACCGTTAGCCAGGGTGACACATGTGGAATGAGTAACAGGATGATAATCAAGGAGAGAAGTAGACGAACCAGTCATGTGTTCTGTTGCACCAGAATCGATAATCCACGGATTGTGAGAGGATGACAATAGACAGAAAGAAGATGCAGTACCTGACTGAGCGAGTGTGGCTATAGAAGTGGAAGTAGCCTGTTTATGAGCTAAAAACTCAGCATACTCATCACGTGGTATAGCTAAGATATCAGATCCTTGTGTTGAGCTACAGTTAGTTACCAATCCAGATATTGGGTGATGGTCCTCATTAGACGAGACTTGATTGGCAGAATCAGATTGTTTGCCATGTAAGTCCCAACAATAATCAACGGAGTGACCTGTACGACCACAGTGATTACATTTTCGAGGCTCACGATTTTCCAAATGGCTACTGCTTCTAATATCTCGTTCACCTCTAGAGCTAACACCACGTCCACTTCGATCGTTGCATCCACCCCTGGTAACAAAGGCAAAATGATCCCCACTAGGTGTATTATTAGAGAGAGTAGAGCGCTGAATACGAGAGAATTTCTCTGGGAGACTTGGGAAGTTCTTTTCCACCCAATATCTATGTCCTGACAGCTTCAGACTCCCGTGGAAGATCAAGAAGGAATTTAACAACATCAATGTCTGCTCGCTGTTTTTCCATAATCTTCAAGTCAAGAGAGAGAGGTTGATGCATAATCCTTTCTTGACACACAGCCAATAGTTTATTATAATACTCAACAAGGTTGGAAGAGCCTTTCTCAAGCCCAAAATATTGTTTGCAAGTCTCATAGATCCGAGTAATATTCCCAGTTCCAGAGTGTATGTTTTTAAGATGTTCCCAAATTTGCTTAGCAGTAGACATGTAGAGAGATGAAGACCCAATATAAGGCTCAATACTACTGATCATAACTCTAATTATTATGTTATCTTCTTGATCCCACCGATCTTTGAGATTAGAATCGGTCTTTACAGATTCACCTTATGATGATTTGGCATACGACTTGTCTAAAATCAAGTGGTTATATAAACATTTACCTCGTGAGAAGACTTTGGCACAACTAGCCCAATAAATATAATTTCTTTCCTTCAATTTTTCGGGTGCCATGGGTCCAGTCAAATTGAACATCTCCATTTTGGATGACATAATTTTAACCACACCCACTAGTCCTTGGATCGTAGAGAATAAGACCAATTAACAATAACAGTCAACCACAGAATCACAAATATGACCACAATTAGAGTGACCAACCAAATAATATTAAATGAGGCACAAAAGAAGAGCCCAAAGAGATAAAATCACAAAGTAAACCCAACAAAATTACTAGAGCCCAATAGGATCTTCTTAACCACAGCCCAATTAGTCAGCCCATATCAATCAGTCTTTAATTAACAAAGTCCAGACTCACTGTAATCGACGACACCACCAAGAGCAATTCGGCAACTGAACAGTAATAGCCCAACTCAATTGAAGCAGTCGCCCACAACTGGAGACGAGACACTTCGAAGCGATTGGAAGAATAAACAGCTCCGACCGGCAATGGGAAGAAGAATATAGCTTCGACCGAGACCAAATTTTTATGCCAACTGGCCAATCTTTGGAGAACATACCGAGGCACTGAAGAAACTGCGAAGCCCAGGATATTAATCAGGAAGAACACAGATGACGTCGATCGGAGTAAACTGAGATTCGATTAGAGGTATCGGCACCGAAAAGACGAAGAGAAATTGCGGGTGGTGCTGTAAACATGAGTAATGACCCTCGATTGAGATGAACACAACGAACAGATTTCTGGAAACCCAAACCACAAGCACGAGTAAGTATATTATTGCTTTGATACCATGGGTTGACCTCACGAATTGGACTCTCCACGTGACCAACCGATAGCTGTACCACGTAATCCTCTCTGCGTGTCAACGCACGGTCAGATGCACACGACCGGAACCAGCGGGGGCGGCGGCGGCCGCATACACTCCGACGTTCAAGTTAGCTTTTGGTGATCAGAACAGTACCAAGGTTGTGCAAAAAGAGTGGGGAGGAGAATGTATATTTAATTGTTATGGAGAGTTAAGTTGTAAGAGTTTCATTACCTTTACCTTTTGTCAAATCTTGGGTATTTATAGTTGAGGAGAACCATTAGATGTGGGACACGTGTATGCATCTGACGCTGTGAGGCGTCTACTCATAGGTGTCAATCAACCGTGTCTATAGAGTGGGCGGGTAATAACTTCTCCTGGGTTGAGTTGACATAAAGTTGATACGTCACATCAACTAGGCCCATGGAGACGTCAAATCAATTTAAACCTTGGGGGCAGAAAGGATCTTAACACAGATCTCTTTCTAAAATTGGAGGCGGATCCTCTGACAGGGATCCTCGGAGTGCATTGTGCTTCGACGTCAGAGGCAAGAACGCTTGGTTGGTTTAGTAGAATTGTTTGTGCCTCGCAGCGCGTTAGTAGCTCACCAACATTAGTGGTTGAGTCACTTTGGAACCACTTCGGATAGGTGTTGGACACCTCGTATGACGCAGTGACAGTCTTTCCGAAGTGGTTCAGATGGGGGCGTAAAGTGGTCTCCCAAGTTTAGGCATGAATATTTATATCATGGGTGGACTTGTTTTCCCGATCGGGTATGTCTGCCTCTGGATAGGAATCGTGGTGTGTGAGCTTGTGGGATGGTTTTCTGTGTTCACCGAAGAGATGAAGGTGGGGACATATCTTCGACAGATGCACTGATAAAGCTTCATCACTGCCTAAGGAAGGAGCTTATCCGAAAATCGATAAGCTGGCCTATAGGACGGTGCGTTGGGAGATGGCTAAAGTTTGATAAAGCTAAAGAGGGGAAGCAGCTATCGAGGCAATGACCCACAGGGGACCTCGCGTCAGGTGCGTTGAAGCTTTGCAAAGCTGAATGAGGGGCTCAGCTGCCACTGGTGCGCTAACCCAAAGGGGACGACGCGTTAGGAGATGGCTAGAGTTTTGTAAAGCTTAAGAGGGGATGCAGCTACCAAGGCGATGACCCACAGGGGATTCACGTCAGATGCGTCTAAGCTTTGCAAAGTTGAGTGGAGCTCATCTGCTACCGATGCGTTGACCCACAGGGAAAGATGCGTTGGTAAATGGCTAACGCTTTGTAAAGCTTAAGGGGGGATGCAGTTACCGAGGCGATGGCCCACATGAGACTTCATGTCAGGTGCGTCTAAGCTTTGTAAAGCTGAGTGGAGCTCACCTGCTACCGATGCGTTAACCCACATGGAGGACGCATTGGGAGATAGCTAAAACTTTGTAAAGCTTAAGGGGGATGTAGCAACCGAGACAATGACCCACAGGGGACTTCGCGTCAGGTGCGTCTAAGTTTTGTAAAGCCGTGTGTAGCTCATCTGCTGGATCTGAGGCGAACATTTCTGACGTTAAATGATTTGACAATTGTCGCATATTTCCAAGACGATAGTTGTGTGCGATGCCCATTCCCAGAAAAGGTTACTGCGGCTCTATTTGCTCTCAAATCCCTTGCATTTCCCGGTGTTCTTCAAGCATTTTTGGGCATTTTTCAAGCATTTTCTGGCTACAACTTCAGTTTTTGACGACTCTACAGTGTTTCCTGACCATTTTCGGTTGTGAAACCCCCATTTTGTGAGTTTCAGTAAGTATTTGACGTTTTTCATTTTTGAAAAAATGGCTTCTGAGGGTAGTGGTAGCTTGGGGAGAGGGCTGGAATTAGTACGAATGGACAAGCCCATTTTGGTGACCTCCTCCGAAATTTTCGAAGCGATAATTGGGGGGGGGGGGGGGGGGGGGGGGGGGGGGGGGGGGGGGGGGGGGGGGGGGGGAATCTCTGGAGGCGCCCTGATAGCCCAGTAGACATGTCTATGCATTTGGGGTGTCGGATTACCCTTCTAAGCTGAAAAGTGCTAACCTCGATAGACTTAGGGCGGAATATAGGATACCAGACAGTGTAGATCTGATCCTACTCGAACCCGATGAGAGCTTGCTACCCTAGGCCATGGTGCGTGGCAATTAGCGAAGCGATTCTTAGGGCTGGCCTTAGGCTCCCGATTCATCCTTTCTTCCGCCTAGTCATTAGGTCTTATGGTTTAGCTTCAACCCAGTTGAATCCGAACTCCTGGAGCCAAATGGTGGGCTCCTGGATGTTATGGAAGGAGGCATTGCTTGGGGTAGAGATGCCCTTTTCTGTCTTCCAGACCCTCTACATCCCCAAGGTAGCGGCTGGGGGGATAAGACTTGGAGCTGGTATTACCTGACCTCACGGGGTTCCCATACTCCATTTGTGCTCGATCTGTCGAGCTCCATTAAGGAGTGGAAGAGCTCGTGGTTCTGGGCTGCCGGGAGATGGAACACGATGGAGGGGGACCCCCTGGCGCCTCTTACGGTCCCCACGAAGTATTCTACACTTAGTGTATACTAGCTGCTTTGTATTTATGTTTATTCTTCTTCGGTTCAGATCCTAACTGATATTTGTTTGCTTTTGAAGGTACTCTTCCTCGGTGTGAGATATCCACCGACGACTTTGATATCATTTGCATCATCTATCAGCTGCCTCCGAATAAGAGGTCATACCCCCAGCTGATTAGGAAGAACATTCACTTCGTGACGCACCATTTGATGGCTTCTCAAGCTAAAATTCCTGAAGTGAATACTCTAGTAATTTTCTAGGCCCTTTACACTTGTAATAATTTGCCTTTTTCTTTACAGATAACTTCAACAGGAAAATGCCTCTAAGGCCTGACTTCAAGACCATCCAGAAGATGATGGCCGAGGCGAGAGCCTTGAAGACATCCTCCTCTGATACAAGAAGCAGATGGAGGATTTGGTGGATGCCAGCAAGAGGCTCCAGCCTCCAACAGAGGAGGAGGTGACAGAGGATCCGGAGGCCAACTTGCTGCGAAAGGGCAAGAAGTCTGTTGGCCCTTCGAAGCGCCCAACAATAGCGAGGCCACCCTTGGTCCTGAAGCAGACCACCATACCTATTGGGGTGGCCATCCCGGAGAAGACACCTGTACCCTCTGAGGCTTCTCCTGTCCCTGCTACAGCTCCAGTTGCCGCTGTTCCAATTGCCCAAGTGCCGGGGCAGCCGAAAAGAAAGAGAGCCAATCCTTCGAAGGAGGACTTCTTGGGCCCAAATTCTGAGGAGCTAGTGAAAGAGGTGTTGGAGGCTCTTCCTTCGGAGACGGCGGCAGTGGCGGTGGTCCACAACAAATATTGGACAAAGGAATGGAGAGACCACACTGCCGCATGCACCGCCGAAGACCTCATTGCTGCCAACAGTGCCTGTGTGGCCCGTGTCCTAAGCACAAGCATCCAACTTGAAGGCTTGATGAAAGACCTCAATGCCAAGATGGAGGACCTCGCCAAGCGTTTTGAGGAGGCGATGTATTAAGGACGCAGTGCCAGAGGCCCGGGCCAAGACCTCGGAGGAGGAGAAAGCAAGAAAAGAAGTCGAGGCCCAGCTGGTGGATGCAAAGGAGGAGATTGAGCGGCTGAAGAAGGAGCTCTATGAAGTGGAGTGCCAGGTGGCTGCAATGACCAGAAGGGTGGATCATGCTAATGAGCACCACTGGCCCGCCATAGAGGCTCTGGAGGCCTCCAATAAAGAAAAAGCTGAGCTGAGGCAGAGGGCGAAAGCTCAAGCTGAGGAGATTGCCTCCCTGAAGGGGGAGATGAAGTCGGTAGGGGAGATGGCGGTGCGGAACTTTATCGATCATTTCGAGGAGCACCCCCTGTACGACGACTTTGCCAATTACTGGGCCTTTTGAGGTGCAGAAGGACTGTTGGGTCGGCTAAAAGAGGTCCACCCTACTCTGGACATATCCTCTTTAGAGGCAGAGTTTGGTGGGCCTACTGGAGGCTGGCCTGACAGGTTTGCCGAGGAGACTCGAGAGGTCTCGGAGAGGGACGAGGCGGAGGCTGGCGCGGATGATGCCCCAGTAGAATGGGGTCATTCCTGTAATGGATTCGGCCTCTTTTGTAATTCAATTTTAAATGAATGAAATGAAAATTTTGTCTAAGTATTGTTGCTTCTGCCTTTTCATTGTGTTGAGCTGTTTATACTCGAGTATATGAATGACAAGCACTTAAGCAAACAATAAGCACCACTTATCGATAACCAGTCGATAAAAGGAGATCGGAGCAATAACATATTAAATAATTGAGGCAACAACTCATTAACTGATTAGACATAAAGAACTGAAGTATCATTACTTAGAGATTACATCATCCATCACTAAGGCAATTTCAGCACTTAGTAAGATAGGGAAGTTACAAATGAGATCGGATCGTGACAAACCACACATTAGACAGCATCGAGATCTGATCGGAGCATACGTTCATCATTGATCGTACTTTCTCAAGTGTTCGATGTTCCATTAATGAGACAGTATTCTCTCTGTCATATCTTCAATTTTAAAAGTACCCGGTTGGGACTCCTTGCAGATGCGATAAAGACCCTCCCAATTTGGTCCAAGCTCTCCAGCTTCAGTTGGCTTTGATGATTGGAAGACCCTTCTAAAGACGAGGTCCCCCAACTAAACAGTTCGATTTCTGACTTTGGAGTTGTAATAGCAGGTCATTTTCCTTTGATACTTTGTCAGTTTTACTTGGGAGGTATCCCTCCTTTCTTCAAGGAGGTGGAGTTCGCTCATTCGAGTTTCGTCGTTATCGATCTCATTGAAATGTATCCAACGATGCGATGGGACCCCTACCTCGACAAGGCTCATGGCTTTGGCTCCGTAGGTCATCGAGAAGGGTGTCTCCCCTGTAACGATTCGGCTAGTTGTGCGGATGGCCCAGAGGACGTGGGGAAGCTCATCGACCCACGCTCCCTTTGAGGCGTCAAGCTTCCTTTTCAGGGTATGCTTGATGGTTTTGTTTACTGCCTCAACTTACCCATTTGCTTGGAGGTGATGAGGCGTCGAGAAATCCTTTTTTATCCCCAATTCGTTGCATAAGTCTCGCATCTTCTTGTTGTCGAACTGTCTCCCGTTGTCGGACACTAAAGAGTGGGGAATGCCAAACCTGCAAATGATATTCTTCCAGACGAATTTTGTAGTATTCGCCTCGGTGATCTTGGAAAGAGGTTCAGCCTCGATCCACTTGATGATGTAGTCAATGGCGACAACGGCAAAAGTCGTGCTTCCTCTTCCTTTTCGGAGCGGACCAATGAAGTCGATGCCCCATTTAGCGAATGGCCACGGACTGGTGACTACGGAGAGCTCTGAGAAGGCTGTTTTTGAATATTTGTGAAGCGCTGGCACTTGTCACATTTCTGAACGAATTGGCAAGCATCCCTTTTTAGGATTGGCTAGAAGTAGCATTGTCGAAGCACTTTGTGTGCAAGAGCCATTTTCCCGGAGTGATTTCCGCGTATCCCTTCGTGGATCTCCCTGAGTATATACGTGGCTTTTTCCCCTTCTACACATTGGAGAAGTGGTGGGGCAAAGCCTCTTTTGTAGATGACATCCTCTTGCAGGACGAAGTGCGCGACTCTCTTTCTTAACTTCCTTGCCTTGCTTCTTGAAGCTGGTAGTGATTGATCCTTCAGATAGGTCATGATGGGTTGCATCCATAATGGGGTACTTTCTATCCATAGCAACTCTTCACCTTTGGAGATGGAGGGCTTCGACAAGCGTTCAATGGTGACAATCTTTAGCAGCTTTGAGTCTTTGCTATTGGCCAATTTTGACAGGGCGTCTGTATGAGTGTTCTCGAGGCGTGGGACTTGGATCAATTCGAACCTCTTGAAATGTGGGATTAGGTCTAGGACCAATTTTAAATATGCAGTCATGCTATTGTCTTTGGTGGCAAAGTTCCTGTTCACCTGACTCACCACAAGTTGAGAGTCGCTGCTTGCCAAGAGCCTTCTGATCTGCATTTCTTTTGCGAGTCTAAGACCTGCTAGAGAGGCCTCATATTTGACAGTGTTGTTAGAGGCTTTAAAGCCGAACCTTACTGCGCAATTTAGCTTGTGGCCTTTCGGGCTTTCTAAGACGATCTCAGCTTCGGAGCCAGTTTTTCCTGAAGATCCATCCACGAACAAGTTCCATGTTGGGGGCTCGGCTGGTTCCATTGCCGCCTCCATTTCTGGCGCTATGGTGAATTCAGCCACAAAATCTGCAAGGGCTTGTCCCTTGATGACATGTTTGGATTGGAACAGTAGGTCGAACTCACTGAGCTCAATTGCCCATTTTAGCAGGCGGCTCGAAGCTTCTGTTTTCTGCAGTACCTGCTTTAATGGGAAGTCGGTGAGAACGTCGATTGAGTGGGCCTGGAAGTATGGCCTCAGTTTTCTTGATGCCGTGATGAGGGCGAGTGCCAGTTTTTCCATACCCGGGTAGCGGGTTTTTGTCGAGAGTAGTGCTTTGCTGACATAGTATACCGACAATTAATGCTCCTCTTCTTCTCTAACTATGACTGCGCTAACCACCTCGTCCGAGATCGCCAAGTATAGTAGTAGTGATTCCTGTGGTTTAGGTTTAGATAACAGAGGCGCCTCTCCTAAGTGTTTCTTCCGTGCTTGGAAGGCTTCCTCGCACTCATTGGTCCATTGGAACTTCTTCCCTTGTTTCAACACTTTGAAGAATGGTAGGCTCTTATCAGTGGCTCTAGAGATGAAGCGACTGAGTGCAGCTATCCAACCATTGAGGCTCTGGACCTCCTTCGGCTTCTGAGGCGACCTCATTTCCAATAAGGCCCTAATCTTTACCGAATTTGCTTCGATTCCCCTTTGGTTCACAATGTAACCCAAAAAATGACCCGAAGCCACGCCGAAGGTGCATTTGAGTGGGTTCAATTTCATTTTGTATTTCCTAAGAATCTGAAAGGTCTGGTCGAGGTGACTTACGTGTTCATTCGCCTGGAGGCTTTTGTCTAGCATGTCATCCACGTAGACTTCCATGATTTTGCCAATAAGTTCGGCAAACATCATGTTGACCAGTCTCTGATATGTAGTTCCGGCATTTTTAAATTCGAAGGGCATGACTTTCTAGCAGTACAGTCCTCTGTCTGTGATGAACGATGTGGCCTCCTCATCAGGTCGAAACATGGGTATCTGATTGTATCCTGAGTACACATCCATGAAGCTCAAGAGTTCATGTCCGGCAGTGGAATCCACAAGTTGGTATATCCTCGGCAGTGGGAAGCTACCCTTAGGCCATGCTTTGTTTAAGTTCATGAAGTCTACGCACACCCACCATTTCCCGTTAGGCTTCATCACAAGGACCGAGTTAGATATCCACTTCGGATAAATTGTTTCTCTGATGAAGCCACTACTGCTAAGCTTATTTACTTCGTCTTTGAGCGCCTCGTACCTCTTCGGGTTGAGGGCTCGTCTTTTTTGTCGATGTGGGGCACAGGAGGCGTTGATGTTTAGGCAATGGCAACTGATCCTCGGGTCTATTCCTACCTTATCCTCGTGCTTCCAAGCAAAGACATCCATGTTTCTTTTCAGGAAGCTTATCATTTGTTCTTTAGCTTCGGGGGACAACGTCTTTCCTATCCGCAGGACCTGACTGGGGTCCTCTGAGTTGACGGAGAAAGTTTCAAGTTCTTCAATTGGGGTCGCGTTCGGTTCTGATCCAGTTACTCGGGGGTCTAATTCGTTAAGAGGGTGCCCTTCTTCAGGAGCCTCTTCCATGTCGACATCTTCCTCCTGTTCGGAGGTATGCCCTATTTTAGGGGCGTCGAGCATTTCCACATCCAGGTTGGATTCGTTCGCAACCTCCGTTATGATTACATTAACAGTGCGGGGCTCTGATTTTCGCAGAGAGTTTAGATAACATGCTCATAGCAATTCCATGCTCAATTGGGAACTTCATACACAAGTAATGTATGGAGGTGACAGCCCAAAGATCTTTCAAGGCGAGTCTGCCCAATACTCCGTAGTAGGCTAACCTGTGGTCTACTACCAAAAACTCCATGAAATGTTGGGCCACTAGGGAAGCTAAACCCATCTCGACTGGCATAGTAATCGTCCTCGTGGGATGATGCTGTCTTCAGTAAATCCAAATAGTGGATCGATCATGGCGATTAGTCCGTGTTCGATTTACATTTTCTCGAAGGTAGAGCCAAACAGTATGTTCACCGAGCTGCCATTGTCGACAAGCATGCGTTTGAGTCCGTCTCTTGCTACTACGGCTCTTACTACCATTGCGTCATAATGGGGGTGGTGAACTCTTTGTGTATCTTCTTGGGAGAAGGTAATCGGGACCATCCTGTTGGCTTCTTGGAATTGGTTGACGATGTACGTGAGCATCGGCGGATCCTTTGCTTCCCTTATGTAGTTCCTCTGGGCATTCCTAGTGTTGCCGCCGATGTGAGGTCCCCCGATGATTGTATCAATTTCCCTGATGATTTGGCCTCTAGAAAATGGGGCATGATCTCTCTGTCTGGACTCTCCTCTTCTTCGGGGTGATTGATCTCTATGCCTCCTTTTAGCTCTATTTGGGGAGGTGGATATGCGGGGATGTTCGTCCCTCCTGGAGGGATGTGGGCTATTCAGATCTGAGTGTCGTGGAGCGTCTCTACATTCGCTGGTGTCATGTCCATAGAGTTGGTGGAAAGTGTAGAACTTGCCTCTTCTAAGGGCATGCTTGACCGCTTCTTCTTCTTCTTTCGACTACTATTAGTACCCCTAGAGGGTCCCGCCTCAGCAGGGCCATTCTCGTATGCCAACACCGGCACTGCATTTAGCGTGGTAGAAGCTAGTGCCTGTCCGGATATGGGAGCTATTGTATGCCCTGCCTGGGTCCATTGCTTGGTGACAAGGTGTGCTGCGGGTCCTCGACCTACATGCCTCTGAGGTGGAGGGAGTCCACGTGCGGCGCGATTTCGATGATCAATCATCTCTTCACTGACGATCTCGACTTTCATCATTTCCACCAGTTGGTAATAAGTGGTATTATTCTTGCTGCGCACATCCCTCCAGAATAAAGTGTTCATGTTGAGGCCGCCTTTCAACGCTGAAAAGGCTTCTCTGTCAGTGATCTGTTCATAGTAGGTGATCTCGTCCTTAAACCTGGCGAAGTAGCTTTTTAGCTTTTTTCCAAGGGCTTGTCTCATATCTTGCAAGTGTTGCACTGGGGCCTCCCCTTCTCTATGTGAGAGGTATTGGTTCAAGAAAGTCTTTTTTAGCTCTGGCCAACTCCTAATGCTCAGAGGAGGCAGCCTGCTGTACCACACTTCGGCGGCTCTGGCAAGGGTTAGGTGGAAGGCTCTGCATTTCAAAGCAGGCAAGGCTCCCCTGAGACTCATCTGTGTCGTGTAATTCGTGAGGTGCTTCTCCGGGTCCCCTTTTCCTTCATACTTGGGGAGCCTCGGATCTCTCTTGAGAAAGGGAGATTATCATCATTATCATCAATCTCGTAAGATCGACACAGCCCTTTGGAGTCCCCGTCATTTTGCATGTTCTGGGGGGTGGAGGTGCTCTTCCTCGGCTACCCCAATCAACTATGTTTCTTCTCTCCTTCCTATTTCTAGGTGGAGGGGGCGCTTCTTCTTGCTCTTCCCCTTGTCGAACTGATCTTTCCACTGCGCGGACCCTATTACTAGGGTGCCGCCCTATCCGGTCGAAGACACTGACGACCTTTGTGCTTCATATCTGGTGGGAAGTTGTCCCCCAATTGCGGTTCTGCTGGCTGGCTCCCTTGCACATAGGATGTGACTTTCGTACCCGCTCCTCTCTCGAGGGGGAGTTCTCTGTGCTAGCTCATATGATCTCGAGAACGAGGCGCAGGGACTTCACGAGTTAGGTAAGATTTTTGGGGCATTTGGGCGCCTTGGTGACCTTGGGCTCACATGAATTCATGCATCGCCATATTCTGAGATGCGATCTCTCTCATGCCCGCAGCTATTTGGGCCATTCCTTCAGTGAACATGGCCGTTCTTTCACCTCGGCGATGTCGGTGATGGGGTCTCTGGTGAGTGACATTGTTTCAGAGCACCTCTTTTTCAGAGGCGTCCATCCTGTGGTTTGCATCCTCATTGTTGGAACTCATCTTGTCTACTCCTTTTTCAAGGGTGATGAGGATCGGGTTGCAATTCGACTTTGTTCTTTTTCAAGAACGTCCCCCTTTCAGGGTACATCAAGGGTTTTCCGGTGGCTTTTCCGATGGAGAATGTTGGACTTTGGATAGGAAGTAGTTCCTACAGACGGCGCCAATTTGTTGACCTCGCGAATTGGACCCTCCAGGTGGCCAACCGATTGCTGCTCCACGTAATCCTCCTTGCGCACAGTCAACGCACGGTGAGATGCACACGGTTGGAACCAGCGGGGGCGGCGGTGGCTGCATACACTCCGACGATCAAGTTAGCTTCTGGTGATCGGAACAGTACTGTTCGTGTGATACCCGCAACCGTACGAGATCGTTGACAAGTAATAATAAGTGAGTTAAGAGTTATCGTCCCACAGAGAATAAATTTAATTCAAATTTACTAGTTTCGTATGGAATTCTAGTTATGAGAACAAAATAAATATTTTGATTTGATTTAAACTAAATTAATCTAAGAAAGCAATAAAAATTGGGATTTTATCAAATTATGGAGGATTGTATTAGATTTTGACTCCGCCTATTGCTATTTATTTCAATTCTTGATTCGTAATCTAATTTCTTTCACGAGTTCTTGACAATCGATAATACTAATATGTTAAATGTTCTTTTCCAAGATACACCAACCTATGATTAACACGACCCGATCCTAATCCTAGTTCGAATTCATATGAAAATCATGCATTTAGTTTAAGTTATCAATATGATTGCATGTATGATAGATATTATTCCTAATCCTAACTATACATGTTAATTTTGCCACGTTCTAGACTCGTTGTGAGTATTTCTATACTACAACAAGCAACTAACTATTTAATTGATGGCCAAACAATTCAATAGTGCAATGGGAATGCAAAATTAATTAAGTAACACACGAATTAAACTAAATACTTGTCTTGAATTAAAATAAATAAATAATAGGGTTCATCTCATCCAATACAATGAAAAATTAGCCTAGCATATTAATATATAAATTACAAAAAGAATAATAGAAAAATATCATTCGGATCATGAAAGAATACAAAAGATGTTGATCTTCACGTCCAAAGTTGAATTCTTCAAAACTTGTTGTAATTGAACTTCATTTCCTTGCTATGGCTTGATCTTCTCTCTCAAAATATAGCAATTGGCCCCTCAGTCTTGATGGATTTGATGAAACTATTGTGTATGAAGAGGCAAGAGAGAGACCCTTTCATTGCTGTACATATCTTGTATTTATATGATGAAATTAGGTCAAAATTCACGTCCAAATTGTCTTCCAAAAGAGTTTGAATCAAATAAGGAAAGTTGCCTTCGCGCTCGCATAATTTTGTCTCTGCACAGCCTCAGTATTTTGATCATAACTTTCTCTTTCGGTGTCCGATTCAGGTGATTCAAAGTGCATTGAAAAACTAATTAAAGGATATACAATTCTTCTAGAAATACAATTTTTACAATTCAAACGTTCACCATTCGAAAAATGGGTCTGAAGTTGACCAAAAATCTTGAAAATATCCTATATGATTGAAAGTCGATTTATGGTAATATTCTAATCATATCCCTTTCCTTTTTAACTCAAATTTGCATCCAATTGACTCCTATCAATCTTCAAAGTATCTTTTGTGGTCCAAATCAACCATTAAATAATTACACTTTGGTCCCCATATTTTGGATTTGCTTCATTTAGCCATTTTCCGTTCTTTTTTTTCAATTCTTCTTTCAACATGAACTTTTTCTAGTAAAAGCAATAAATAACAAATCAGGTACTAATCCGTTCCAAAAATAACAAAATATTATCATTTAAGACCCCAAATATGTGTAGAAACTACACTTATCAAGTACCAAGGTTGTGCAAAAAGGGTGGGGAGGAGAATGTATATTTACTTGTTATGGAAAGTTAAGTTGTAAGAGTTTCATTACCTTTGGCACTTGTCAAACCTTGAGTATTTATAGTTGAGGAGAACCGTTAGTTGTGGGACACGTGTATGCATCTGACGGTGTGAGGCGTCTGCTTATAGGCGTCAATCAGCCGCGTCTATAGAGTGGGCGGGTAATAACTTCTCCCGAGTTAAGTTGACATAAAGTTGATACGTCACATCAATTAGGCCCATGGAGACGTCAAATCAATATAAACCTTGGGGGCAGAAAGGATCTTGGCACAGCTGACACGGATCTTCGGAGTGCATTGTGCTTCGACGTCAAAGGCAAGAACGCTTCAGTTGGTTTAGTAGAATTGTTTGTGCCTGGCAGCGCATTAGCAGCTCGCCAACATTAGTGGTGGAGTCACTTCGGAACCACTTCGGATAAGTGTTGAACACCTCGTATGACGTAGTGGCAATCCTTCCGAAGTGGTTCAGATGGGGGCGTAACACCATGTAAACGAGTTTTGCATAAACTGAGAGGAAAAATCTACCCTTCGTCTCCTCTCCCTTTTATTTATATAGAGAATCAACCATGTACATATATGGAAACTAAATATGTCAAATAATATTCTTGCTTAATACACATTTTTCCTAATTGATTTTCTTCCTGAACATTTCTCTTATTATCCAATTTGGCATTTAACAAGGATCCATCTCAACTTCCCTGTGTTCATGTTATAGGTATGTTTAGACAAATTTAGAATCCTTTACCACTTCTCTGTCTCATCTAACCATTGTAAGCCTATGCTCTACGTTCTCATCGTGAAACTATCTATCTAAAATGATCGCTTTTTGAGACAATTCTCTATTGGTATCATCCTTATTCCTACAGTAACTAAAAGTGCTCCTTCCGAACGAACAAATATTATAAAAATGTGAATAGTAATACTGAGGTGATTTTGTGTGAGAGTGTTGTTGTTTTGGGGGGGGGGGGGGGGGGGGGGGGAGGAGGGGGGGTTTTTTTGTTTTAGGTGATGCTAATGACTTCATAAGTCAAGATTCAAAAGCAGGTGCATTTTATGTCTACTGATAGAAATTATGTATTTCACTTTTGTAGCTGTCCAAGTCCGTAGTGCTGATAAGTCCAAAGACAGCTTTTCCAAACAACTTTCCCTCTTTCTGACCACGATTCTCGTTGCCTCGTTCGAAGGGATAGGATCCAACTGTATTTTATTAAATTCTCTCTTCTCCTAACAACTTTTAAAATGATTTGGTTGTTTGACAACAGCATTCTGAGTTTTCAAAAATAAGAAATGTCCTAATATGTTAGGAAGTCTTTCCTTGATCATTTATCATAAATTGGAATAAACTCCAGCAGTGACTAGATTCCTACTTTAATAAACCAGATTCCAGAATTTAGGATTGTCAGTATATCTATGACCTTTTACCTGGATATCTACACAATAAACCATTTATGTTAACAGGTTCTGCCTTTAGGTAGGCTAAAGTTTCTTTTGACAAAGTTGAAGTTATGAAAGGAGTATCGATGGTTAGGAGTGTGTGTGCATCCTGCAATGCTAGTTTCGGTGTACAAATAAGTTCTCAAATGCTGCAGTACGACCAACAAGTTTTATTAATAGTTGTACAAGTAGAGTTGTGTGTCAAATGGATTTTGCTGTATTATGACATTCGAAGGTCTTTGTTAGATCTTTCTAAAAGAGAGTTGGACTTCATGAGAAGGGGAATGGGGCGGGAATAGACAGTCAAGGAAATAATTTATTAAAATATACAGTGCTACTTGCAGTGTCAAGTAGAAATTACCTTATATGAATTTGGTTGATGTTGAGTTGCCATCATGTGAAATAACTAGCACAGGAATGACAATGTTGTTGACTGCCAACAGTATATTAATTAAATGAGCCTTGTGTGAAAATTTTATATAAAACTATATGTGGCAAATAGATTAAATCAATTACAAACACATTTATCCATTAAAGGGTCAATCTAACACCTATATGAGAGAATTAAATCAAAATTATCCTAGATAGTTTAGGCAAATTTAGCGGATACAGCCCTCTACTGATTATGTACTGCTTACAGTAGTACTATAGAAGAGAGATGAATCAACTGCGTCTTGTATACTTGATTGTAGAATTTTTCTAGGTTAATGGATTGGAGAATTTTGATCCTCAAGAGGTTTGGATGTGTTCTGCTAAGAGATTTCTGGGAGCTGTTAAAAGTTCTTTCGCCCTCTTTTCATTCTTTTGGCTTGTGGTTTACTTACAAACACATTCTTTTGGTTCAGGCAGTAATTGATCGAGATGATGAAAAGCTGAAAGACCTGAAGAACAGTTATGGCAATGAAGTGTACGATGCTGTAACATCAACTTTGGCCGAGATAAACGAATATAACCCAAGTGGGAGGTATATTATTTCAGAACTTTGGAATTACACTGAATGTAGGGAGGCTACTCTGCTGGAAGGAGTTGTTCATATGATGAAGCTATGGAGAAGTTATAAAAGAAAGAGGGGAATGGATTGATAGTTGAATGCCATCTACGTTTTTCACCTGCCATTATGTGGGTAAATTTTCATTTTAACTACTGATAACAAATAATTGGAGACAGATTTATTTTTCACTATTTATTGTGACTGTTGTACTTGTGGCTAAAATATAATATAATGCAGTAGAAGTTCTTACCTTTACCAGATCTTTCTCTCGTGCGCGCACACATTCTTACGCTCCACGCACATTCTCCTTTTCTGAGATGTTATGACAGATGAAATGAAAGGAGAGACCCTCCACCGTGTGCCCCCTCTTGAATTGAAAAGAAGACGGAAAAGAAAAAGAGGAGAACGTGATAGAGATGCCAACATGCTATGGTTTTTGTTAAATCAGTAAATGTTTTCTTTTTCCAAGCTTGTGTTGAGAACAATAATTCGTACTTGTCATTTGGTCTTCTACGCTTTCAAGATGTAAGGCCACCTCATCGGTAGAAAAGATATTTCATGCACATTATGGGTAGGAGATTAATCCTATTTAAGAAATAGTATTACTTTTTTTAATAGTTTTTAAGACAATTTTTAGTTTTCAAAACTACATTGTGGAGGTTGGACATATTGATTTGGAATTATCCGAATTAAATTAGAATTGGATCGTACTAGTCTTTTTGGTTCAGATTATCTGGTTATGCTTCTCAAAATTTGAAAAATTCATAACTAGCTATGAAATCTAAAGTATTTCAAGAAATACTATATTACTATTACAAAAAGTACTGTATGCTCCATCAAACATAATCAAATTTACTCTCTAAAAGTTTTCTCATTTATCAATGTAACCGATTTTAAAGAGGCAATTATCACTCCATTCATTAACCATCCACTGTCGATACGGGAATTCAAAATTGAATTTGTTTTCTGTCGTAATCTAATCTGAACGTATGATTACTAATTCCCTTCAATAGGATATTTACCCTCCATCTCGAGATCTTGAAATTTCATCAGTTAATTGTGTTTATTTCAGCTTTAAGTGTGGTTCTCATCACCGAATCCGATAAGATTTAATAGTTTTTGACTATGTTTCACAGCTATTCTTTGCTCGAAATTTATTTCGAAATGTGTTATGAAAACGATGTAGAGGGAAAATCATAATATTTCTTTAATTTGATAAATGGAGTCCTAAGAGATTTGATAAACCCCAAAAAAAACCATGCTTGAACTGTGTTCTTAGACCCGTTTTGATGGTGTATCTATTGGCGTAGTAAAACAGTGGTAAGTACATCTTGATTGTCAAATATAAGGCTATCATTTATATCAGTCGTCTGTATTACCATTAAGGGTATGTACAGTTTTTTCCCAAATGCATAATGTGTTTGCGTAGCTTGATGAAATAGCCTGAATAGCTAGCCATATTTTTACGGATGCAGTGTTTATTTATGTGTCTATTTGACATATTTTTGTAAGATGTGAGCTGATCTATATAATTTACACTCAACTTCCAAAAATTTTGTGTTAATATAAGTGCCTTCTACACAATCTTCCTAACAGTTGATACATTAAAATCATCCCATCTCATTTTCCATGCTTGTCAAGTATCGGCTTCTAATGAATCCATGTACCAAGTGCTCGATGAGAGCAATCAGCATGTTTTAGATTTGAACATGATGACTTACACGTGCAACATGTTTCAGATTGACGGTGTGCTATGTTCACGTGCATTGACTGTCATAGGGGAAGTGTTGATTAACCACACAATTATTGCTCACAATACCACACAAAAGGAGTGTTATTCGGCATCGTGCGTTGGATTCATCGTTCCACTTCGTGATCGTGCCCAATGGAAGGTTGACAATTGCAGAAAGCATGACGAGATATTTCTTCCTAAATCTAAGAGGTAACCAGGTAGGCCTAAGAAAACAAGGAGATGGAAAAGGGTGAAGTGCTTGCATCCAACAATATTTGGAAGGTGTGGCGGGAAAGGACACAAAAGGAGAACCTATGAGTAACCACTACCATTGTGTCAACTAGGCAAGCGTAAGCAAGATTCGGAATTGTCAATGAATATGCAAGATATCTAACACCTGCCACCTTAACAAGATGAAATTGTTATCTTCAGATTGTCATCAAATGATTATCAATTCATTTATTTTTGATGAAAAATGTTATTTTATTTATCTTAATTAATCTTCCTTTGTTATTTTCCATCTTCATGCTTAACATTTGAGGTTTTCTTCAAATGCTCATTGCTTCCACTCACATATTCAGATTCCACAGTTAACAGAACTAGTTAGGTCCTTGGAGATTTATGGCGTCACGTGATTGATAGCTAATACTTCACGATGAAGCCAAAAGTACAAAATTAACAACTTGAACACGAAATCATTAATTATTTGAACTTATATCAATTGAAACTTGAAAGCTTGCATAGGAGATAAAAGATAGCTTCTGGATTTTAGTACTTAAAACTCGCCAATTCCCCATCCCATGTAGTTTCATGTTGAATAGATGAAAGGAAAGAAACTCTAATTTGCAAATCGCTAAAAGATAGCTTCTGAAGTAAGATGGACTGGGATGACTGATGAGTCTAGAATGAACGAAGAAGAGAATGGTATTAATTTAAATTATACGAGTTAATTAAATTAATGCTGACTAAATTTATCTTAGGTTACTACTTGCTCAATCAAATTTAAAAAATTACTCACTGCTCACTCATAATTATAAAAGTTACCCATCCATCATACAAATTCCATCCATTCACATGGACCCAAAATAAAAATAAATAAAAATAAAAAAATCCACGTGGACAGATAGAATTCCTACGTAGTGTTGATGGGGTTCCATGTGGACGAATGGAAATAATATGAGCAATGGATGATAACCTTTTGTAGGTAGTTTTATATTAAACATTGTTACTTGCTTAATCAATTGAATTTTTTTTTTCAATTTATATTTTTAAGCCTTCATTTTATATTGCTATTTTGCTATACAGCTCAATTTTACTCTATCATACATTTAGCTCCTCTTTGAGCTCTATTATTCTTAAATTTTATTTTTTTTCAAAACTCATTTTCAATCATTCACTCTCTCATAAAATAATCTTACACGTAAATTCAAAAATTTTCTCTATTTTTTAACCATATTTTCTCCAAAAAATTACTATTCGAAAATACATTACCCCTAAAAAGTAGCCGGGGACTTAATAAGTATTTCATTTGCCACCACCTCACTGATATGTTTATTTACTTATTAATTATTAGATGAAGTTATTGAATTGTTGTTGTCTTATTGACTTATTTGTAAATAAATTTTACTACACTGATATTTTTAAAATTTCAATCCTCAAAAAAATTTCGAATCTGCCCCTGGATCGAAATAAATTGAATAGAGTTCGATTATTAATGAGAAAATATTGATTTATAGAGTTGCAATAATTTATGAAATTAATCAATTTTATTTGATTTAGAACTGGAATAAATCGTCTTTAATGACACTTTAACTCTTCTAAAATCAAGTTAATTAAATCAATGCTAATTGAACTTCATTTTAACTTGCTTACCCATATTTAAAAAATGTTATTCATTCATCACTCATACCAATTTTATCCATCCACGTGGACTTCATCAATGCCACATAGGATTTTCATCCGTCCATGTGGATGGATAAAATTTGTATGAATGATGAATGGGTAATTTTTATTTTTTATTTTTAAATATGAGTGAGCAGTGGATAACTTTTTAAATTTGGTTTAGTAATAATATAAGGTAAAGTTGAGTGATCGTTGTTTTGGTTTTATCTTTATATTGAAATATTGGGTGGGTGATGTGTCCACTCACAACCAAGTAGCGACCAACATGCAAAGTGGAAAAACTGGATTAAAACTCTCTCAGCCACCTTTCTTGATTTGTTGACAGCCAAATTTGTTATTATTTCCTTACTAAACAAGTCCTCCACATGCATGAACGCAGTCACTTTCGTTGACTTCCATTTTATCACTTAATTGGCAGAATTTTGGCCATAAATTGAGGCAGATCTTGCAGCTAAAATTCTCCATAAATAGAGGCACCACTAAGGGAAAAATACCTCCCATGGAAAAAAAAAATGTGGAGAAGATAGATAAAGAGGGATTAGAAAGTGATTAATACTCTATTGTAAAATTCTATTCAAGTAAAAAAAAGAATTGTTTTTCCTCTTTTTTCTTCTCTTTTCGTGATCGGAGAGCCACAACGGTGGGATCTTTTAATAGAATTCTTATTGGTACTCGCTTTGGTTTCTTGAATTGTTCATTAACAATATTTGAATTAATTTAAACCCAAGTCATCAAATGACTATAAAGGTAAAATAAGATAATCAAATTCCTCTAGAGGTCCTCAAGCTTCTGTTTGGGCAACTCCATGTTCCCAACCATTTAAAATTGTTCGCACGGAATCCCAACCTTCGAAAACCGTCTATTTAGATGGAAAAAGAATGGGTGTAATAGTCGAAAAATAATTTTTCAGCCTTTAGTATAGTATTAGTCTATTTTCTGCTATATAGAAATTCAAAATTTTCTTCTTTGATTTATATAAACTACAAGATTTTAAAAGTGAAGGAAAATTACTTGTAGCGTAGATATTCAAAAAAATATTTTCACAATTCTTTATCTTTGTGAGATGGAACAATAGTCAAAGTCTCCCGTCTCTACTCAAACCTTAAAGAGAGTTTGCTTTGCTAATTTCAAGTTATTTTTAATTTTCATGTAAAATATGTTTTAAAAAAAATGTTGAGTTGGCATTTTGAATAGACTTTACATTTGAAGAGTCAACTCATTCTTTATTCGTATTATCATGATTGCATTTATTAAAATTGCATAATTCAATGCTTTGCATTTAAATCATTCATATTATATCGAATATCTTTATTTATTTATTTATTTATTTTGTTGACATTTAAAACTATATAAAGTCGTGAGGGAAGGATAAGAGAGGAAATTACTTTCGTGCTTTTGATTCATGTCAACTCAATTATGTAAAGTAATGATTTTTAATAAGAGAATACATTACATTTTGGAATAGAGGCCTTTTGGAATTTTTTTCCACCAAACAATAGACTTCGTCAAGAATATTTAAAGTTGGTGCCTTAATTACGAGTTATTTTTATCTTTAATATCGTCGAATCATATTAATTCATTCACTCAAACACTTTGAGAGAATGATCGGCCAACATTTCACATGAATTAGTGACTGAAAAAAATAATAATAAATGTATTGTCGAAGACAAAAGATCTAACATTCATTACATAAACATGACCAAAAAGATTTCAAGTATAATTTATAGTATATGTGAAGATGAGGGCTGCATCATTTTGCAGCCACTTCACTCCACCCCACTCCACCCCACCCACTCCACCATTCCATTAAGTCAAAAAAATTAAAAGACACACAAACACACTCCTAAACTTTCTCCCTTTTTTCCCCCACTTTTTCCTTTTCCAAACTCAAATTTCCATTTTCGGAAAATATAAGTAAAATCGAAAAGTTAAACAAAAAATAGAAGAAAATCCCATTAAACTCGGAAGTTTTTTCCAGCGAAGGTTTGACCAAATTGCCAATGAGAAGGTACGATGTTCCATGAGGTGGAAGTACGATGATCACTACCTTTAACTCTGAAAGAAAGTGATTGACCAACCAAAACGACATTTGATTGCCAATTTTGTCCCCAATTGCGGCTCATTGACATCCAACCAGTTCTCGAGCCCTTGACCCACACCTTCACTATGTCCCCCGCACCCGCAACGTTGGAGATCAAAACTAAGTTGAAGTAACGAAAACCATTGATTGTGAATCTCATCCCTCCATGCTTGTTGCAAGGCACTCTGCACAAACAACAAAATTCGTGTTCAAAACACCTCGTTCTCTTACTTTTGTCATAGGTATGTTGAGAAAAGAGATTCCTAGCATTTACTTAATGACAATGTTATTCTTAACCACAATGAATTATGAATAATGCTACGTGTACTGGGGAGATTTGCCGGGAATTTTATAGGTTACACTTGGTAGTTTTTCACTGGGAGTTGGCAAAATACCAAAATAATAATAATAATGGTAGTAGTAGTAATAATAATCCAACCATTCAATTACTAAAAGTGCAGCACCCCTAAGAATCCCTGTGCAAACAGATTAATCGATGAATTTTTTATAGCCCATCGAATCTTGACTGAGTAAAGTAACCTTAATTTTTTGGGTGTCTTTAAGAAGTGCATATGAGAGAGAAGGGGCTGACCGGCGGTAGGAGACGGGGACGATGCCAGCCCGATACTCGGCGATCTTGAGGAACATGGGCATGGCAAGGTCAAAGTGAGAGCGTGGAGGGTTGCACCACCCTCCATTGTCATTAGGCAAAGCATAGTTTGGTGGGCAGAAATTGGTAGCAGTAACGAAAATGGAGGGGCTGCCTCGGTGGCACCACTGTGGATCATCTCCACATTTGATCTCAAAACAGGCTCCACAGCTGAATCCATTGTTGAAAAGGGCTGTGCTCAGAGCTGCAGTGTTCACTCCATAGCCTTGACTATACAAGTTCCCATACCCACAAGCACCACCTGCAACCACAAAGGAGAGAGAGGGAAAGCATATAGTGTATTAATCCTCGATTATATTGATTCGAGCTTTTATTTATGCAACTTTAGTCATAAATTGACACGACCCCATCTCGAGTAGATTTTGGAGAGTTGAAAAGCGAAGTGTCTAGTTATAAAGACATATCGACTATCATATTGACCATTAAGACTCAATATAATATACAAATGGTCATTATGATATGGTACTATCGGTTAACATAGAACAAATCTAGTACGGGCACGGAAAAAGTGCGTACCCATGGTTCCTGAGGCGTCGCTTCCACCGTAGAATGTGGCATGGGCAGTTTCCCATCCTCCACCAGTATAGACACCGGGAATTCTGGCTTCAACACAAGTCAATAGTAGGACAACTACAAAAATGGAAGTGAATTCCCAAATGGCCATTGTAGTTAAAAGGGTTGGAGAGGGATTGTCTATTTGGAGTAAAGTGTGTGAAGAGGAGGCTGAAGATTGTCCACTACTTATTGGGGCAGGGGAGGAGAGAGAAACAAAGGGGAATATCATAAAGAACCTAAATAGTGTTTCCTTAATCAAAGCATGTAATGGCGGAAAATAAAATTTTCAATCCCGTCATTAATTCTTTAGACGAATTTATGCTTGAAATTTTGTGGGTTTTTCCATTCCAAAATAAATCTATTTATGATATGGATAATTCTAAGTGTACATAATTTGGTTTATCAAATAGTTTACATACTCTCACAAACACGTGGACCCTGCGTGAATAAAATAATCCCAACATGTGATCCCCACATCCCTATTGTGAGAGTATGTAAAGCATTAGATAAATAAAATTAGATACATCTAACATAGTCCGACATGACATTATGTGAAATAGAAAAGGGCTATAAAGGGAAATCCAATGGGAAGCAATATGAATCTTGTGCTTGAACAAGAATATTTTGGGGGGCCACAGTTCACAAGGTTTGATATGAAACCAATCTGCCGCTTTGCTTGAATTGCAAGTTGTCCAATCAATGCAACGTCCCTTCTTTTCTAACATTTTCTTTACGTTTTTCACTTTATATTAAGCCTAACCTTATCTTAGAATTTAGTTTCGGATGCTCGATGACTAAAAGATTAACGTATGTTAGTATGCTACTTTGATTATAAAAAATAATTAATCAATGACTCGTTAGACTTTTTTATCGATGTTCATTAGATACCTTATGTCAAATCCTAGGATAGAAGTTGACAACGATTTTGATTATTTGCCTTCTTGAACGACTTGGGTTCAATTTGTTTAAAACCTTTCACCTCTACGAAAACTATATACTTCGATAAGATTAATAAATAAGATTAGTAAAAATACGTCTAACTTAATATGTGAATTATTCTTTTTTTTTCTGAGTTATTTTTTGTAAAAATCTAATCCAACCCTTGTTTGAGCCCCGTATTGGAGGAAATGTATTTTTAAATAGTGTATTGATGTGAAATGTGTGGTTAAAAATAAGAAAAAAATTGAATTTGAGTGTAATATTATTTTATTGAAAAATGTATAGTTAGAACGATGTTAAAATACTGTTCAAAAATACAATTTTTTTTTTCAAAAGAATGATATTCGAACAAGGGAATAGTTCTACGTATCAATAAATATATAGAAATACTGAAGTAAATGCAAAAATCAGGCAATTGTCCATAAAGGAGATCCACTTGGAATCCACTTTTAACTTCCTAACTGGAATTTTGGTTCCCAAGTGCTCTTTACTTTTCCACATAAGAAAAACAACTTGGTTCCACTCCAATGCACCTAAAATATATTTTAATAATCGTTGCAGCAAGTTTACCAGCCAAATTTGAAAGTAGTTACAATTTTAAATAATGGGAACTTAAATAAGTGAATAATACTTGATAATCCCATAAAATGTATGAATGAAAAGTGATATAACCCCTTATTTATTTTGTTAAAAACCAGATTTTGAGCTGAATCTACTACTTTGAAAACCAAAATTCTTGTTAAAAACAAGTTATCTAAAAAAGATGAGCAATTGTTGCACTTCCCGATAGCCCTACATATTCTTGCCTATAAACCATAAGAATAAAGTTATTTGTACAGATAGTGTGACGTGTATCTGTTGACCGATTTAAATTGCGGAAATTTAAATTGGCGTGCATCTGTCAAGCTACATGGTCCAAACCATATGTGCCCTTGCCATCAAAATGAAATTGCAGCCATGGGCAAAATCATCTTTATTTATAAATACAAAAGCATAAATATGATAAGATGTCACATTTCTTTCGTGTCATAATATCCTCAACCAAAATATTATAAAATGCAAACGGATCTCACATAATTGTTAATGGGAACCAATTTTGACCCTAAAAAAAAAGGAGGGGTGGGAGTGGGGTGCGGGGGAGACAGGATAGAAGCTTGATCAACTATAAACAAATTATAAACAACTCTGAAACATGGCTTAGTTTATTTATATATACGTGCCAATACTAATAACTAGGGCTAGAAATGATTCGATTCGATTCTCTCTAGAATCGAATCGAACCCGAATTTTCGGATATTTAGTAAATCGAACCATCAGGTTCAAATTTAATTATGGAACCGTTTGAGTTCGGATTATTCTGTTTGATTCGATTTTCAGGTTTCGTACTATAATTAAATTTTATAATATTTACAAAACTACGTCAATTCAATTTATGACATGTTCAATTTTATCTCTTAAAAAATAACATAATCCAATATTATGTATCTTTTGCATCTCTCTTTTTTAGTTTTTCATAAATTTGATTGTTAAAATCACAAAAAGGAAAATATCAACCTAACATAATAAAGAAAGGCATAGTCGGGTTTCAATGCGATTTCTTTATAATGGCAGAAACGGCACTATTGTAGAATAACAGATTTGGGTTAAATTTAGGTGAATTTGATTAAGTTGGACTTGAACTGAAAATTAAAAATGGGAAAATCATATTTTTAGGTTTGTGCTAAATTAATTAGTTAGCAAATGCAATTAGAAAAACTAAAATAATTCAATTTATTTAAGATAAATAAATTTAAAAAATTCAGAATATTCGATTTTTAATCTAAAATCGAGAATTGAGTCAAACCTGTTGGTTCTTGATTCAGATACACGTTCAAGTGTTTAATTTAAGAAAAACCACTTGATTCGATTCAATTCGAGTCAATCCGATTCGATTCGATTCGAAAATTTTATCCAACCATACTAATAACTCAATTATTCATATCTATAAAAACTAAAAAGATAAAAACATAGCTAAAATACATGTCCTACATCAAATCAATCAAATTCTTTTAGCGTTTAGTTTATTTTAATTAGAAATTAGCGCTTGTAGTTACGCAATGTATTTTTATTGGATAACGTATAAACGTCAAAAGATGCAATTACAAATTTTTCAACCAATCAACTCGATTTTTGGGTCCCACTTAAGCGCATTCACCGGTCCACCTTTTGCGTCGTGCATTAGCCGTACTAAATGTTGAATCAATTGAAAGATGGTCAAAGTCAAAATTGAAGTGGCTCTCAAATTTCAACTTTAAAACATTCCCCTCACCATTCCCCCATTTGATAAAATTTAAAATCTAAATTTTAATTTAAATTAAAGATATTAGCTAATTTTAATCATATATTTTATGAGATCCATATTTTTTCACACACATTTCATCAAATTTTATCAAAATTTACTAAAAAATTGATCTTAATCTCCACCACACAGGAGCTTAATTTATATATTGAAAATTGTCGTAGCTCGTAATGTATCTTAGGTTTGTTTGGGAAAGACATTTTAAATTTATTTTTCCCCAAAATATTTTTCAACTACTCATTTTACAACATTTCCCCTATTTTTAACTACCCCATTAAAAAAAAAATCATTTTTGATTTGAAAAAAAATCTTCCAAACAAATGCCTAGTTAACAATGATATTAATAATTTATAGAATAGTGTTATTCATAAAAGATTTTTTTATATATATCTTAATCGATCTAGATGGAGTCACTTATCATGAATTAAGGTGATTGGAATCCAATCAAAACCGACTTTGACCAATTATGTAGGCATGAGTTAGGATCAATTCGATTGGATTGGAATTGATTTTGATCAATCTAGTTAACCATTAAGAAGAAAGGTCAAGACTTCAATTCAAAAATTAACAGTGTGTTTTACCTTTCCCCATTCCTCACAATAGGATTAAAATTGTGAATTAAGAAAATTCAAAACATATATACGAGCATATAACATAGAGAACCCGTCTTCTTTTAGTTTCTAACCTCAAGAATTGTAATTCGAAGGGCAATGAGTAAAAAGTAGTGAAAATATTTTAGGAATAAATCTTGAAAATTGAAATAAATAATCGACAAATATGTATACGTTTAAAATTGTATGTGTGTGTCTGTATCGATTGTGAATTTTTATCGATTTTTTAACCGTTATACAGTGCAACAAACAATTAGAAGTCACATATGTTGACTAACTCATACTAGTCGTAATTATTGGGAAAAAAGGAAGCAGTCGTCTCTTTTTATATTTGAATGATAAAAAATGTTCTTATAAAGAAGAACGAATGCAATATTAAAGGGGTATTTAAGTCATTTCATTGTTCATGGATACCGAGGCAGTCAATATTTTTGACTAGTATGAGACTCGTATATATTGTATAGAGATAAAAAATTGCTAAAAATTGAAAGATAATCGCGACTAGACAGACATAATATATGTTTCTCTTGCTCATATTTAACCGAGAGAAGAATAAGGCATGACAAGAGGGGGAATGACATTTTGATAATTAAGCCCCCGTTTAAGCCCCATTACATTACATTTCATTACATTTTATTTTTCTCTCTCCTATTTTCAACCACACAATCTTCTATAAAATAATATTACACGTAAATCGAAAACTTTTCCTTCTTTTTCAATCTCTCATTTTTTTTAAAAATACTATTCCTTCTATTTTCATTATCCAAAAATGAGGATCAAACAGGGGCTAATTTTGTAGGAACTTTATCTTCTACCAGAAAGAGAAAATTCTCAGATAAAAATAAAGAAATGAGAAAAATATAATATGTGAGATTATTATAAATTATATTTGTCTTTACCTTTGAAGAAAAGTTATGATGATAACTATATGCAACCCACTTCTAACTACCAAAACCGTAACATGTGAGGTGGGGACCTGTCCGGGACATGCTTCATTTGTCAATTCAAGGGATGTTTCTTTTCTTTTCTTTAATCTTCTCTCTTCTTATTGGTAGTATAAATGTAAAAAAGAAGTGTAACAATTTGCAGACCTTTTGGCTTTTAACTTCTTTAACTAAAGCAAACAGATTTTCGACGAACTTGTTCTCGTCTTGGAGTTTTTCAATACTTGTTAATCTTTATTGAAATAGAGATCGTTAGTATTTTTGTCCAATAGTCACATGCTTTACACTTAATTTTACTTTTTAAGGATTATTTTAGTCAACCCGTGTCCATTTCTCCCA